GGAAAGGTCAGGATGAACCAAATCATGTAGGTAAGACTGAAAATGATTGTTTTGGAAATCACCCTGACTGGAATTGAAGGACGTAGGTTAGAAATAGAAAGTTTTTGGACTGATGTGTGTGTAGGGGACAATTGCTAATGGATTCCAAAAGCTTAGCTGTTTTCAGTAAAGTAGGGAGCTCTGTTGGCCTAGTGAGTAAGGTAGTTTGAATTCACCAGCAGTTCTGGAAGAGACAGATTCGGAGAAAGATAGGCAGTCTCCTGTGCAATTTATAGACTCTGAAAAACTGTTGGAGGTCAGCTGTGAGTTGGTTCTGACTCTGCTGCAGTGAGTTTTGTGTTGATTCAATAAAGTAGAGGATTGTTCAAAGCAAAGATTTTGACATGAAGAAAGTGGTATTTTGAATATTAAGTTGGCAGATGAATGAAAGGAGACTGTACTGAGAGCTAGATTTACCAATCTTTTCATTGGTTGAGGGGAGCTCTGGTGGTATAGTGAATTGTGCTGCTAACCCAAAGGCTGAGTTTCTCTTCACTGTTAAATCCACCAGTGGTTCTGAGTGAGAAAGATGAGCAGTCTGCTCTCACTGCTATTTGTAGTCTCAGAAACCCAGTGAAAGAGTTGAGACTGACTTGGTGGCAGTGAGATGATCATCAGCGGAGATGCTGCTCTTATGCTGACTGCCTCCAATTGCCCTCCAATGTCTGTAATCTTACGGAAGTAGGTCAGAACTATCAAACTTGCATTGTAATTGGTTTGCACCATCCAGAGTACTGTTCTGTATATTCCTTTACTTCCGTTTCTAAACATTAACAACTCCGATACATATCTGGCCATGAAGGTTTCATGTAGGTTGTTTTAATATAGGTTATGGATGTATTCATAAAATCTTTGCTAAGCATTTTCATTTACCCGATCTGTTAGAGGTTTTGTAAGGATTTAAGGTAATGTGTATATTGTGCTTGACACTTAATACATGCCCAATACGATAATAATAATAATAGTTGTTGTTGTTTGGTGCCATCAAGTCGTAGACGACTCATAGCGACCCTATGAACAAATGGTCTGAGCAGTGTTCGTACATAGAGTTTCTGGAGGCGAACCATTTCGGAAGTGGATGCGCTCCTGCCTCCAGGCTTGTTTTAGTCGGGAAGCTCCAGCCGACACTGTCCACCATGGGTACCCGTTACCACGATTGGCACAGCACTGTCACAGTTTTCAGCATCAGAGCAACCATGAGTTACCTCTGTACAGCAACACACAGACCAGTGCTATACCACCTAGAAGAATGTTTGACAGGAAAACAATTTTAACCTAGTAGTAGTAGTAATAATAATAATAAAAAATTTTATCCCATTAATTCTGTTCTTAAATTTCTCTCCAAGTGCCTCTCCTGTGCATAAGTTATCTGTTTTTGTTCTTACATCTTTTAGGATGGCTAAGGGGAGGGTGGGTAACTATTGTGGAACTGTCTTTCAGCTTGTGGCTAGAGCTCCCAACCACAGCAAACTTTCTCCACATGCCCTTCTTTTCTGTTTCTTTCACTGGAGGTTTCTTTGGGGGTGCATTTAATCTCAGACAGCAATAGAAAAATATCAGTGATCTCTAGGGAGACACAGCAGTGGTTAATAGCTTTCCCTAGCTTGCGGAAAGCAAGCAAAGACATTTTCTACTGCGTGGTGGTGTTACGTACTGTCAAGTGAAGTATGATTCATAGTGACCCTATGAACGAGAGAGCTGAATTCTGTCCTGTGCCATCCTCATCATATCTCATATGCTGGAGCCTATTCCTGCAGTCACTGTGTCAGTCTTTTAGGGGGGGACCTTTTTCCATCATATGCATAATTTTCAAAGCCAGTGTTAGATATTTTCTGTCTTTGCATTTATTCAAACTTCTGGTTAGACATCACATCCAGGAAGCTGTTAGTTGTTGGGTGCTGGAGAGTTGAGTACGACTCAATGACTCTATGAACAACAGATCTGAACCCTGTCCTATCCTGTGCCATCCTCCTCATCTCTGGTACACCTGAGACCATTGCTGCAGTCACTGTGGCAGTCCATCTCGATGAGGGTCTTTGTCACCTTTGCTGACCCTCCACCCTGTCCTTCACTGATCCGCCACTTTTTGAAGCATGATATCCCTCTCCAGGGAATAGCCTCTCCTAGCATCATGTGCAAAGTAGATGAGATGAAGCTTTGTCAATCTTGCCTGCACTTTTTCTCCAAGACATATCTGTTTGTTCTTTTGGTAGTCTATGGGCTGTTCAATGGGTGTAGCTTTGGGTTAAAGCTTTGACAGTGTAATGAGAGGAATCCTTGTGTCTGATAAATTTATATGAAGAACTAGCATGTATCTTAGTACACAACTGTTAACTCTCTTTACTCTTAAGTTTTTGTCTCCACACTATAGGGGGAAAGGACTTGAGAAATTGTTTTAACATCTATGGAGGTTACCATTTGCTGACCTTTTTTTTTTTACAGTTATGTGCTGTCAAGTCGACTGACTCATTGCCACCTTAAGCACAGTAAATAGTTCTGAACTCTGCCCTATCCTGAGCCAATTCACTGTCTACAACACACCTGCCCCTATTACTCAAGTCACTGTATCAATCTATCTCATCCATGGCCGTCTTCTCCTATGTTGTCCTTCCATCTTCCCAAGCATGATATCCTTCTCCAAGGACTGGTCCCTCCTGGTAACATGCCCATAAGTATGTAAGATGGAGCTTCAAGAGCCTTCAAAAGCCTCCACTGAGCAAGTTGGTTTCACCCGCTCCAAAACAAACCTGTTTGTTCTCTTGGCAGTCTGTGGTATGTTCAATACTGTTGTCTATAACCACAGCTCAAAGACATCAATTCTTCTTTTATCCTTAGTCATTGTCCGGCACTCTGATGCATAGCAAGTAAGTGAAGATCATGGCCTGGATCAGGCCACCTTAGTCTTTAGACTGACATCTGCACTTCAGCACTCTGGAGAGGTCCCTGACAGTGGACTTTACTAATCCAATTTGTCTTTTGATTTCCTGAATGCTGGTTTCAAGAATATTGATTGTGGACCTGAATAAGCTGAAATTGTTAACAATCTCAGTCTCTTCTCCATTTATCATGGTGCTGCTAATTGGCCCTGTGATGAAAATCTTTGTTTAACTGATGTTGAGTTTTTGTACTGAATACTACTTAAATTCTCTTATTAATATATATAACCAAACAAATATTAATATTTATTAATTTTATTGTTATTACTAGACAAGGTAGTAAAGTGAAATAAGTACATAATTTTTAAAAGGCTTACTGCAGAAGGTCAGGACTGCAGCCTTCAATATGGATTGAAGCTCAATATCAAGAAAACAAAGATTCTCACCACTGGGCTGATTGGCAGCATCATGATGGATGGTGAAGAGATCAAGATTGTTCAGAGCTTCAGTTTGCTTGACTCCACAATCAACACTCTTGGCACCAGCAGCCAGGAAATTAAAAGATGTATTGCGCTGGGAAAGTCTGTTGTAGAGACTTTTCCAAAGTACTGAGGAATAACGATGTCTGGAGACTAAGGTGTGCCTGTTATAGGCCATGGTCTTTGCAATCACTTGCTGTGTGTCAGAGAGCTGGATGATAGAAGGAGGATTGATGCCTTTGAGCTGTGGTGCTGGAGAAGAGTATTGTATATACCATAGACTGCTAAGAGAAAAAAAACAGGTTCATCCTGGAGAGGGTGCAGCCAGGCTGCTCCTTGGAGGCAAGGATTCAGAAGCTTCGTCTGACATACTTTGGACATGTTGCAAGGACGGATCAGGCCTTGAGAGGAACGTCATGTTTGGGAGGGTGGAAGGACAGAGAAAGAGAGGAAGACCCTCAATGAGATGGATTGATTTAGTGTCTGGTGTGTTAGAGACAATAAGATTGGCACAGGCTAGAACAGGGTTTAGGGCTATTTTATAGAGGGTCGCTACTAGTCGCAGGCGACGCGATGGCATGTAACAGCATCATTTGACAAGGTAACATACATCTATGACAGGAAATTCAGTAATTGTATCCCAGAGGACATAGCTCACCTGGGCACCACAGGATCCAGGATTCATCGTTGATGTTCTCAAATTATTTTGTCAGATTTCTTCTAGTTGTTGCTGTTGTTAGGTGCCTTTGAATATGACTCAGGACCTTGTGAACAACATGTCTGAACCCTGCCCTATTCTATGCCTTCTTAACACTACTCTGACATTCAAGCCCATTGCTGCAGACACTGTGTGAATCCATTTGGTTTAGAGTCTTCTACTCCTTCTGTCCCTGCATCTTTCCAAACTTGATGTCCCTCTCCAAGGAATAGCCTCACCTAGCAACCTGTCTAGAGTATGTGAGAAGAAGCTTCATCATCTTTACCTCCAAGGAGCACTCTGGCTGCAATTTCTCCAAGACCTGTTTATTTGTTGTTTTGGCCATCCATGGGATATTCAGTACTCCTCTGCAGCACTGAAGTTCAGGTGCATCTGTGGATAAATATTACTTATTTTTAAAAACCATTCCCCAATTGTAGGCAGTTCACATCTTTCCCTCTTCTCTGTTAAAAGCAGTCAGCTCTTTTCCCTGATATGCTTGCATTGAAAACACTGCCTTTTTAACCTCCTAAAACAACAGGGCCCTTACTTGTTTTCCTTAGGGAAGAGTAAAGTTCAGCAAACAGCTTGCTACACTCCTGTGCTTTCAAAGGGAAATTTTAAAGTGGGTAGCAAGCTAACTTTCAAGAGAATAATAAGGGTTTAAAGAAAGGAAAAGCAATCTTACTGAGCGTGGAGTAGACTGTGTGATTTTAGCAGTTGGTGGGTTTCAGCTGTGAAGGTAGACTGGTGTGGGGAGTCCCCTGGTGGCTGTGGGGCGGGGCGGGGGCGTTCCTGGGCAGAGTGTGTGTTTATGCTGCTGGAGAGCCCGCCCCTCCCTGGGTAGTCCGTGCTCAGCTCTACTCTGGATCTATGGAGGAAAACTCCTCCGCAGACCTCAGCATTCCCATGGCTGCAGTTGCTTGCAGCACTAAGGCGATATCCCTTTTCAAGCGGACCTTGTCTCTGAGCCCTGCCACCACGCCTCGTGGCGCAGGTTCAGGGACTCCTTCTCGGGGCTGCCCCTTCCCTTCCTCTGCCTGGCCTTCCCGGGACTGGCCGCGGGGAGAAGGCGTCAGTGGCCGACTCCGAAGCCCGACAGCAGCCAGATGCCTGTCCCTGTCCCATTCCTGCTCCTCAGCTTCACCCACCTCGGCATGTCTTCTCTGCCCGCAGGACTCGCTGAGCAACAGCTTGAAAACCTGCTACAAGTATCTGAATCAGACCAGTCGAAGTTTCGCAGCTGTTATCCAGGGACTGGATGGGGAAATGCGGTGAGTGACTGAGGCAGCTCCGTAGGATCTGAGGGAAAGACAGCTTTTCCGAGGCATTTTTGGACATAGCATGGAGTGTTTACTTCGATATTTGTATATTGGCCAGCCCAGCCTGAGTGAGTGAAAGAAGTGTTTGACTGAAATGCCCATGCGTTTGTTTTAAAATGTCCTTCCAGGCACCTGGCCATCTGACAGTGCCCCTGCAGGCACAGCTTTCAGGAAGGCAAGTGTGTGTGTGGTGGTGGCAATGTTGATTGATTTTTTTTTTTTTTTTAGTGCTGGCTGCTGAACCTGTTCATCAACTTTTGCCTGTCTAGAATATTGGGTTAAATATTGGGTAGAGCCCAACCAGTGTCTACCAGTTGCCATTATCCATGGCAGTAATGCTGTGTCTTCCTTGTCTGTCTGCAGTATATTAATCCATTCTTAAACATTTTGACTCTTGGGTTTTTTTATACAATTGTTTTCTGTTAGTTAAATGTAATCCATTTGAGGAGTGGTAATATCATCCAGCTATAAGGTTTTTATATTCTATAAAGAAAGGAAAATTTCATTACTTGCATCTAAGTAAAGGAAACGAAGTTTTTTATAAATACAGTGAACTCATGATATTGTAGTAGTAGTGCTAATTACTAGGATATTTTGCAATTGGATTGACTTTGATCTGAATGTAAAACATTAAGTTTATCATTATTTTGTTGGTGCTTACTTATCTAATTGGAAGCATAAGAAATGGTAAACCATTTAGTGGTTTTTCACACTTAAACACAGCTTACTATTTTTTGACAGGGACATAGCAATAAGAATTATAATAACATCAGTATTTGATTTTAAAAATTCTTTAGAATTTTGCATTACGTCAGAACTTTGTACATCAGTTCTGTAGAGGAAAGGTTATAGAAGGGTTTGAAAAATGCCTGGCATAAATGAAATGTTATTTAAAAAGAAGTAGCTTTAGATATTTGTTTCAGCGTATGAATAATTATTTCTCCTTTTTTTGCAGCCATGCAGTATGCATATTTTATTTGGTTCTTAGAGCTCTGGACACTGTTGAGGATGATATGACCATAAGTATAGAAAAAAAGATCCCCATGCTACACAACTTTCACTCTTACCTTTATGAACCAGACTGGCGGTTCATGGAGAGCAAGGAGAAGGATCGACAAGTGTTAGAGGATTTTCCAACGGTAACCAAATGAAAGGTCTTCTTTGTGTATAGTTACATTTACAGTGGGTTATATAGTTGTTTGCCAGCCAGTTGTTCTCCTATAGAGAAATCTATAGAAGCAATCTAAGGTGGCATCCATCATGTGACAATTTAAGAGTCCTGTTAATTAGACTGTGAAGCCAGACTGCCTGGGTTGGAATCCCAACTTTTACACTTGGTAATTGATGGTTAGATGCTTATCTTCTCTGTACTTTAGTTTCCTCATCCATAAAATAGTGATAATACTATTATCTGCCCTACACTATTATTGCTAGATTAAAAGAATTAATATGGATAAAGCTCTCAGAATAGTGTTAACTACTGTTATTACCACCAGTATTTTATTTAGAAGTTTGATATTTATTCCTGTAGAATGATGCAGTCACATTTTTTGTGTTGTCAATGATTCTCACGCTGATATCCTATTGATTATAAATTCAGCCTAACCGTATGCATACTACTGGCTTCTTGAGAATCTTGAGTGTAGTAGCATACCTAATGATGTAAAGCCCCTTCCTACTTCTATGTGACTGAAGTAGCAAGAGGGGGATGGCAGGCTGGGAGCCAGGAATCAACATTCTCTACCCTGCAGTATTGGAGCAAACAAAACTGCAGAACCAAGAATTTGAAATTCAAATCTGAATTTTTCTGTCAGTTAGAAAGACACATTTGCTAAGAAAAGTAGATAGAACATATTTTCTTTAATGATATATTATCTTGCTTGCTAACTGAAAAAATTTTAGGTATAATGAGGGCCTTCATTTTTACCTTCTTCCCAGACTCTAAGCATAGGCCTAGGTCCAGTCTTCTAACCAAATCAACTACAGGAGATATGCAGTCATTTGCTGCTTTGAGATTGAATCTGGTGCTCTTTACTTTAATTTTCATTAGTTGATATCATTTAAGTCATGCCTTCTTGAAGTTTCTGGAGTATTATGGGCTAGATTAGAGTGTGCCTTTGTCTCTTCATCACTTAGTACTAATGGGAAGGTCAACCTCTAAACATAGTTTCAGGAATAACAAGATTATTTTAAAATCATGACAATAGCAAGTTTTTATTCAGTAGTTTATTAGGATCTAATGCTAAAAACATGGCAGACTTTTTGGATATTTCGTGTAATAATTTACTACTTGTATTACTTAATGTCATTTTACCAGGCACTACGTGATAGGCTACTATCATGCAGTTTGTATAGAGGTGGAAATAAACAAAGAGAAATCCAGTAACTTGTTTAAGATCACCTGTGAAGTGGCAGGAACTGGATTCAAATCCAGTAAATCTGACCTCAGAGACCTTTTTCTTAGGCATTGCCCAAGCTTATTGCTTTTAAAAACCTGTAAAACAGAAGCCAAACCTTTTAAATATAGGTGAAGGTGGAAGCACTCACTGGCATGATAACTAATGTCTAAGGTTTACTATAATTAAAGCAATGAGTGGTGATAGTAGTAATTTACAAATTAGCTAAAGTCTTACTTACCTTTTCTACTACCTGGTTATATTAGGTATTAGATATTTGACTATGCAGAGGCTTTTGACTATGTGGATCACAATAAGCTGTGGATGACTCTGAGAAGAATGGGAATTCCAGAACATTTGATTGTGCTAATGCGAAACTTATTATACTTGGACCAAGAGGCAGTCGTCAGAACAGAGCAAGGAGACACTACATGGTTCAAAATCAAGAAGGGGGTTCGTCAGGGATGTATTCTGTCTCCATACCTTTTCAATCTGTATGCAGAACAGATCATCCGAGACGCTGGGCTATACGAAGAGCGATGTGGCATCAGGATTGGT